TCCATTGCTTTTTCTTCAGTGGAAAATCAGCAGCCAACCATGAGCGATTCAAGTCGCATCCACCGATTCAGTCGCATGCGAGGCTTTGCTGCGCCGCCCACCTTTCTGGTGAGCTCAACCAAGGTCGGGGTGGAGGAATGCCAGTGTCACAGAAGGGTAGAGGGGCGCCCAAAGCCGTAAATTTTGTTGTTCACTTAGGTATGTGTTTTGGAGTGATTACTAGATGAAAACTTATATGTTCTTTGATCAGCAAGTCTAAAGGTCCTTAATTTTGATCCCGTGGAGGCTAAGCCTGTAAGATATGGCACTAAGACTACTGGATAGCTGTGATCACCGCAGCAAGAGGGCTCATGCATGCTTATGTTGCTATTCTCAAACCAATGTTCTCACGCTTCGCAAACAAATTACAGATGACAATATTGCGAAGATGACTCAGACTTGAAGAGAGACAAATTAGGTGATTATCGTGTCAACTTGCTCATAGTTTTTCCTGTTAGTTGCTTCTGTGGTTTTCTTGTTCAACTCGAGTTCTGACAGAGAAGCTTACTTGGTTAGGCAGCTCACTTTGTGAAGATACATGAAGGTTTTGCATGTGCACATGCACAGATCGAACTTGCAGTCCTTGGTGTTTGTATTTCAGGCATGCTTCTAGTGGCAGAACATCAGCTTCTTCATCCTTACTGTAAGAAGTAAGAAGCGATCCAGCACCAGATAAAGTGCGGCAAACACCAAGACCAAAAGGCTATACACCTATGCATGGTATGCCTTTCTCCACCTGTGCAGGACCGTGCCTCCCCTCCCAAGCAACACACAGACCTCTACGCTGCCGCCCTGCGCAAGAAGCGCATCCACTGTGCCGTGGCAAGTGAGGTTGTTGTAACTTGGATGTTTGTGGGTCTAGACCTGTCACAACCGAAACTGTTGTTGTTTGACACTTGTGGGTCCAACGTCGAATATATCGACAATGTATAATATATATTATTGATTAATACATATGGACAGGCCGATTTGTTGAGCTACAGTACCATTTGAAGGGCAGAGGTTGCAAGGGGTAGAAGTGCTGCCTACGTCCCCAGAGAGAAACCGAGACTGTGGTATTGCTGTTTGCCAAGAGCGCCCTTAGTAGCGTTTGCTCCTAGTAGCGTCCTTTGCCAGAAAGGATTCCATTGACGGGGGGAATTGGCATCTCTTTTATTTGCTCCGCTTGGAGTCAAAAATCCATATCATCGCATTTGGCCACGCGCAAATCACGCCGATACAAAACTACATTGAACTACATTCATCACTAGTAATCCCTGGTGTGTGGAGAAGTTGTCTGGTGAGGTACATATCTTCGGCGGAACTTCGGCCCACACGGATTTGGGATGTCAGGCCCTGACGACTTGCTGCGTGTGTTGGGATGCTGCGATGTTTGGAGACGGCCGTGAGCAGAGTTTCCAGGGGGCTCCACCTTAGTAGCGATGCCAGGAGCCCCTAGTAGCGTCCTTGCTCCTAGTAGCGATGCCAGAAGTCCCTCGGTAGCGTGCTTGCTGCTAGTAGTAAGGCGAGGAGCTCCTAGAACGCAGTGGCAGGTGGCTGGACACAGGAATGCCTTGCCTGGCTTCACCAACAAGGCGACGGATGGCGACTCGCGCATCCCGAGCGCACAGAGCGTTAGCTGGGACTGCAAGACGAGGGCAACGGGTGGCTGACGGCCGTGACTGTGCATGACTGTGCGAGTGTGTAAGAGACGAAATCGAATCAATCTAAATCCTAAGAAATCCAAAGTCTCCACGTTCTGAACCAGAAAATCATGTATTTTTTGATTTGGCTGTGCACCCTTGCTCAACATTTGAGGTATTGGCTCAGGTTTGCCGCCGTTCAGGCAGCTTGTGCATCCAATAAAGGGTTCGTTCTTTATGAGGATCTCAGTTTCCCTAAGGAGAACTGTTGTTTTTTTGATATTCAAGGAAACTCTTGTGCTGTTTGTGTCTAAGGTCTGCATGGTTTGTACTCTCCTTTGCAAGAGCCTCCTTCTTCAGGAAATCGTTTTTGTATGAACGGTGTTCACTATCCAGTTCCTGTAACAATATCATACCTGCAGAAATTGGTGTTATGCACATCATGGTCCTAAACCTAGACAAACGTGCACATGTTGGTGTGAAACCTCCCAGTGGCACTCTTCATTAAACAAGGTATAGTTGGTGTTGATTTGCTGATAAGTGTATCGATGATTGCTTCAACTACTCAACTGTATTGCACCTGCACGCGACTTGTCTTTTTTGAAAGCACTAACTTATATTCTATTTAAACGCACCTGCTGCTTGTATGTCCAACCAGTACCACTTTCGCTAAAGAGTGCCTTGAAGCGCTTAAAGTAGGATGGTGACATGTACAATAATGTAAGTATGTGCATAGAAGCATGCACCTGGAATAATTGTTGCAGGCAATTGTGTTTTGAAGGGATGTTTTGCCTGCAGGTTTGGACTCAAGAGGGGTCCTCATCAAACATATTGTTGCATTCATGTGTATCAAACTGGCAAAGTATTTTGTCAATAGAAGGATAAGTTGGTGCTTTGAAGCAGAAAGGTGCTTTTTCAATGAGAGAGCCTTGGTTGAAACATCCTCTGGAATTTGGCCTTGTCAACAAGAATTCAATGAACAACTTTGGAAACTCAGAAGAATCCCGTTTCTTCTCAGACACAGAAACAAGGTACACATTTCAAGGCGGTGTCTTCTGTATCTAGATATATACATGAGCATGATGCATCATGACACCATTTAATATACATATACATATTATATATACATATACACAATACATATACATAATACATATCATATAATATACATACACACTTGTCCAGGGTCACATGACATGTCATGACGTGATTGTCTTTGAGAGGCTTTGGGCCCGACGCAATGCAGTGAACAAAACCTGATGTTCGTGACCGCAGGATGGTCTAATTTGGTGCACGGGATGGGCGCTTTAAAGGCTGGGTCAGTGGTTGTGGTGCGATCTAGTCTAGCGCGGCTGACTTGGGTCCATTGTTTCTTCCTGTTATATACACATGACTTGATTCAGCTTGTCGGGTTATTTTTTAAAAGTGTTTTCTCCAGTAGATCAGAGATGAGACTGATGATGTTTCTATGATTCCTTGTTGAACTTGGTTAGTTGTTTCAATCCTCGATGAGAACTTTGTTAACCACTGGCCCATCATGGAGTGCCCAACTCCCATGTGGGACTCAATCAGATAAGGCAGGCTCGGAGTTGCTGAGCTCTAAACAATTGGATGGGTGAGCGACGCTGTTTGCCTGGACCGGTTTCTCGTCAACACAAAGGATAATTCCAAACAATGCGGACGCATGTGGATGTGATCTTTTCTTATTGCGTACATATTTTTGAGATGATCAAGATCCAAATCCTGCCATGTGGAAGTGATCGAATGAAAATCCAACCAGGATCGCGGATCCGACACAAAATGAGCTGCGACACTGTGACGTCTGCCGAGCTGGGATGAAGCTGGTCCCTTGACCGGCCAACAAGTGGCCAGTGAAGCCTTGGGGAAAACCGGCGTTCGGGACGTGCTGGGTATTTCTTTCAGTGGGTGGGCAGGCAAAACGTTGTTGCTGTAAAGTTGAGTGCACGACACCAAGCATCATGAGTGAATCAGCTCAGCCTGTCGAGCATCATCGCCCTAAGATTGTCTCACAATGCATTTCCCGCAGTCATTGGTCCATCTGCCAGGTACTGCCACGGACATCGCCTTTGCGGATGCTCCCGATCGGAAGGTACGGCCTCCATTGTGCCCCGACGGAGGGCAGGTCGGAAAGGGAAGTAGGTTGAAGTCTGGAAAGGCCTCAAACTACAGAAATTTGCTACCCCTCCCCCCGCTAGTAGTAACAAGTGCATCGCTAGTAGTAACAAGTGCCTTACTAGTAACAATGTTTGCTAAGAATGGAACCAGAGGGCCCATTTCGAGGGCGGTGCTTCGATGTGCAGAGGGACCTCTCTTCGGAACGAAGAACGTGCATTTGGGATGTGTTTCAGAGAGAAGAACCACAGAACGCGCAGAAGCTAGCAAGGGGAATGGTACGGTCATGTGGCAAAATCCTGCAGCGGCAGTACCGTGCTCGGTGTTCTTAGATGTCCTAATAGACTGGACATGCTGCCAGACGCACGGGAGGCACTGCCAGCGGTCCGATGTTCATGCAAGTTTCGCTGGATCCCAGGCGAAACCTTCCAATAGGCGGGTGGTTTCAGAGCGGTGCCACGACCCCCCCTGACCCTTCAAACATTGCCGTAGCAACCACTGGGAAGCGGAAATCAATGGACATCATCAAGCCCAAACCTGGCGGTTTCCGTCAGTTTTGAAGGAAGCATTTGGACCCACCTATGCGCATCCACGTTTGGACCAGTAACGTGGTTGCCAGAATAAAGGTGGACGACCAACACCAGGACAAAAACAAGTGGTTGGGGTGTGGGCCACCCTCGAACCATGAGCGCGTGCTATTCTGCCCCTACTTGAGAGCACCCCAAAGAGACCCAAAACATCTTGTGCTGCGGGTCCAGTGGAGCCACATTCCGACCCTGGCTCTCAGCGTCATACAGAGAGCAATTCACACGAAGGGCCATGAGATTGCATGAGATTGCAACAGTCAATTTGCTCCGCTTCTATCAAAAGCAATTAAGTCCATACAGAGTCAAATCATGAAGCTTGATGGAGGTTTGTACATGTGTTGTGGCATGCAAATATTTACCCCGGGAGAAACAGCCATGGCAGCCACAGGCTAAACAATTTAGCTGAAGATTGGCGTGGGTGTTTTCAAGACAGTTCTTCAACTTCCATCAGGCCCAACAGCTCAGGAGTCCCATGTAGCTATACAAGAATATACAAGTAGGAGATAGCAACATAATGATCATATAATCTGTGCACATTTTATACATTGTGCTATTAGTGTCAGGCAGGGTGCCTCGGTGCCCTAGGCCCTAGACGCGGTACCAATGCCTATCGTTGAAGTATTTAGTCATACCTCCGCTTGGGCCGGCGAATTGCCACCATGCAAGGCATGCAAGGCACGGATGTCCTGAGAATGAAGTCGAGAGCCCCACAATGGAACAGGGAAACACGGAGATTTTGTCTCGAAGCTGTTGAGGAAATGATCCTTGTGCAACTAGTGACTAGTGCTGGACCTGATCAAAGCCCTACTTTCAATCTCTTTGTCATCCTTCCAAGCCTGCCTAATCGGAGTGATTGGTTGTTGCATATTGTTGCCACCCAATTCAATTGAGCGAACATTAGGCGAACTAGGACACTTCCAAGTTACTCCAAGTTTATTTTCTGTTCACTTGAGCGAACCTCATGCAAGATGCACCCTCACGTGCCCGACGTGCTGACAGGTGGACCCTGGGGAGGGGCTTCGGCACAGGTGCTGCGGGTGACGAGACATGTTCGACCATTCGACCACTTCCTTTTCTTCTTTCTTTGTTTCTAACAGCAATGGCCTCCAAGCTACTAGCGATGGCCTCCAGCCTAGTAGCAGTGGAAATGGAAGATGTTTGACACTTTCCAACATGTTCGACTCCAGGATATCTTGAGACGTCCTTGGAACTTCGTTCTACACCCACTCCAATGGCTTGCCTCAGACGAGGATGAAAGTGGAACATTGGCTCCCTACAGGGACTGTATGCCATCAGAGTAGACCACAAACGCCCAAAGCTGACGGCTTTTCTCCAATTAGAATCCTCAGACTGCATGGGCTGTGCTATTTGATCGAAGCCTACTGAATCATGAACTCTTTCCTTTGCAGAACATTATTCCTATACCATGTTTCTCGGTAGGACCCATGCGCCTTCACATTTCAGAAATGATGAAGTCTTTGGTTGGAATTCGAATGTCAGATCCAGAGAAGTCAAACATTCAGGGTCCAACCGCAGACCCCAAAGCCACCGCAGATCATGAAAAAACCGCAGACCGCGGTCTCGTTGAGCACTGCGGTCTGGGGAGGACGGTGGATGTCGGTGGGATGTTCGGCTCCGTGGGACAGTCCTTTGGACAGGCCAGTTCGGCTCTGGATCAGTGAGAACAGTGGAAGCTTCTTTTTGGTTTAGACATGTTTAGATTGAAAACTCGGCTGGTTTGGGGGCAATATGGGGCAAACAGTTCTGATTAGTTGTGATGTGATGATTGAATTTGTTGATTGATGTTGATTGATGTTGATTGATGTTGATTGATGTTGATTGATGTTGATTG